CTGAGTTATTGAAAATTAAATATGTTAGTGCCAACGGAATATGTGTATAAACAAGTTGATGAAATCAATTAATTGAAAATCAGTTTGCCAAGTGAAGTTTGAAGTTTCTTCATTCGACATTTAGAAAGGAAGAAAAGATAGGCGCGGAAATAGAGCCACTTCAGAATTTTTCGAAATATGGATCTAAACACATATATTCGTACATTTTTTCAGAATAAATATGTCATTTCCCATTCTACAGGATCACATATTTTAGAAAATGCAATATGGCTACATGTTGGAACGGCCATTTCTAATAATTTCAACTAGTCACAGCTTACAAGTTGTAGACAGTAAATTATAAACAGTATAAAACGACACCTTGGGATTTTAAATGCCAAACCAACACCAAGCATTTATGATTTGGCTCTGCGGAGGATTCGATCGGATCCGGATCAACCTACTCGGTGCTGATGATCGGAGTAGCGCCTTATTCGTCTTTACAGCTTGTTTTCCTGCTTCTGCGGCACCTTTCCACGTCTTTTTACCTCAATTTTTCCTTCGGCTCAATAGATCAATATATATTATGCTTAGTGTAAATACTATATTAGCCTTCTAGGGGCCTGAGGTAGTCATCGTCTTCGTGAAGCTGGTTTCAGAACGCCGTGGAAGAATGTTCTGAAACTGACTTACGTTCGGCTACCGTGTACGCCTTTGATACAAACGTTTCTCCGTCATTTTATATATTTGGGTGGGGTACACAATAGACCTACCTCCACGTGGAGCACCCTGGACAAAGTGTCTTCATACGGCCAAAAATTTGATTTGACTTCTATTTATAATGATAAGCTTAAAACAAAGCTATAAGAGAAATCGCCCACATCAGGGCGAATCACAACATCCACAGATCCTAGAGTGGAATGCTGGAGGGATGTCACAGGACAAAAAGATCCAAGTACAGAAAATCCTACAAACCTATGATGTAGACATTTTCGCAATCATGGAAGCAAACATTTCGGATGACAAACAGAAGTACTACCAATTTCCAGGTTACACCCTGTACTTTCTACCTCAATGCCGGCAAGTTGCAAGAGGAATCCTGAATTGAGTAAAAGAAGGCCTCACCTCACATTACGATCTAATCAAGAGTATGAGCTCGATTCAAGACATATGCGAAATAATCGAATAAAATGTTTGGAAATGTCAAAAGCACTTCAATAAGTATGCATTCTATAATCCACCCCAGAATTGTCTCAACTTTGATTTTCTGAACATATCACACAAATTTGTAGTATTAGGAGAATTCAATGCCCATTCCACCAGATGGGATTATAAGACTACAAACATAGCTGGAAAGGAAATTGAAGACATGCTAAACAGCAACCCTCTGGAACTTATTTACAGCAATGAGGATCCGGCTACATACGTCTGGAACTTATTTACAGCAATGAGGATCCGGCTACAACACTCTGGAACTTATTTATAGGAATGAGGATAACAGCAACACTCTGACACTCTGGAACTTATTTATAGGAATGAGGATACTCCTGGCTACCCTTGTCTTCAAGCGACATCAGTGAGCATACACGCCGCAAATGTTGCATTGAGATAGCAATGAGGATCCGGCTACATATTTGCACTACAATGGAACCTGAACAACTCCTGACTAGCTTCTGGATTCAACCGACATCGGCGAGCAACAAGTCCCCTCAACTTCAACCAACATCCTCACAAACCTTGTAACAATATCACGAATATTATGATCAGGTGTGGAAAGATAGCTATTCCCCGTGGCAAGACAAAACAACATCGAGTGTTTTGGTCTGAACACCTTGAGGAACTGAAAAGAAATAGGAACGCCCTTCGCAACACTGATGATCAGAATGGAAATAGGAACGCCCTTCGCAACACTGATGATCAGAATGGAAGATCGGAAGACATACAAGCCTGGAGACGGCAGGCAGCCGTCCTAAGGCAAACCATCTTAAAAGCTGAACGGACTTCCTTCGACAACTTCATCTCAAATATCAATTATCAAAGTGATAGTCAACGCATTATCAAATTCCTGGGTAACCTCCCAAAACAACAGGGAAAGACCCACGAAAGAAACAATACCCTTAAACAAAAAACTGCTTACCACCGACTCCGAAATACCTAACTACTTTGCAAGGTTCTATTCCCACAAGCAAAAGAATTAACTACTTTGCAAGGTTCTATTCCCACAAGCAAAAGAAAAACCCCTTTTTCATTAAATCTTCAAGAGATATAAAGATACAAGTTAAATTTGTGGATAAGGCGTGGTGGACATGAAGAGGTGCATTGGAACGAGATGCACACCTATCAATGTCGGAACCTTATTGTCTTCATTCCATGCACCTTAATAGACCACTTATTATTAACGACGAAGGATGTGTTCACAGATCTCTTTTTGCACAATTTCGGATAGGATGTAAGAGCCATTGTCTGGCATGAAGAAGCAATACCGTCATGGTGAGTTTGAAATCGATTTATCTGTAACTCTTTGATATACTTATTGCTAATTGATCTTACTAGTAAATTCTTAAGTGTCAAGGTCACACGATTAGAGCAAAAGTATTCTTAGGCATAGCCATTATTGCGAAGAGATTATTATTTTTGAAATTTTTGCTTGTTTAAACTTTGCCTAATGTTCCTTCTCTAAATTGCTCATAAATTGAAAAATTTATCTCAGATTATATGACTTCAAATCCGCTCTACCTAAATGTCAAATGCTGAAATGGTTGAAGATTCTTCCAAACGAGTGAATCAGTAGTTAGGAGCCCAATAATGTGTGTGCAAAGGTGCACTGGAGACTGAAGACAACTTCTACCATTCATACACTGGAACGCCAAAGAATACTGCCGCAGACTTCATCAGAGACACATATAACACACAATCTACAATCTACATCTACACATATGGACAATAAACTGAAAAACCTACCAGTTATAAAATCGAGCCAATCACAAAGATTTAAAGGCTAGTTATAAAAAATTAATCTAATACATAAATTGTATGTTCTGTTTGAATTCCCTTAGTTCATCGACCTCAATCATTTGAACTACTTGTGCTTGCCAGCTTTAAGAAATACGACGATGCAAGAAACATCTTTTCAAATGAATCGTTTCAGTTACCACTACTGCAGTTAAAATGATACTTAACAATATTATCTGCGTAATCTACTTTTTTAATGCAAGTAGGAAGAATGTTTTAGAATTTTTCAATTTTCAATAAATGACTCCAAAATTGATGTTGTATGGCGTCAGAATATATACAACTTGACCACCTGAATTTGAGGGGAATTACACATTACATCAGAATTAGCAACCTAATATGTGAATCGATTATTAAGTGTCACACATACGTTTAGAAAAATATGTTGGTATGTATCAGGCATCATAAACGGGTTGGTAAATAGACATATCTTCTTAAGATCTGCTAACCCCCATCGAAGAGATTGACATGTAATGACTGTACTCATGAGTTATGTAAACATATAAACCTCTTCCAATTCCACACTTCTATGCAGCATTGGTTTTTTTAAATTGAAAAATCATATTTACGCAAAATTATCAATGGGTTCAAATAAAATCTACTATTTTGTTTTAATAATCCTTTATTTATGCGTCGCGATTGACTTCATTCTATAACATGTCTTTTGAAATATAATTTTCTACCAACTGCAAAAATTTCTAATTTATTAGATGTGCAGATGTTCAAATTACTCGTCAGAAGGATATATATGGAACTCTGGTAAAATATTAGTGCAGATGTGTGTATTTGCTTTGTTCAAATGAACGGTTTTCTTGAAATAGACGACTTGGATCTGAATGATGCAATATTGCCAAAACCATGCGGATATTGATTAAATAGTTGGAAATTAAATTAAGTCAACAGAACTCAATAGAACCCGAATGAGCTTCATTATATTTACCACCACATCTAAGTCGACGTTTAACTAATTATTAACAATTTTTGTTCATTTATTTTTTTAAAACATTTAAGGGCGCAGATTTTGCGAGCCGCATTTCTATTTCAATCTTAGAGTCATGTTAAATAAAAGGCAATTTATATTAAAATGCTTGCTGATCTTATACACTTTATATAAACTTTGTAATTATTAAAAATTGAATGTACACTTGAGTGGAAAATAAACAGAGTTAAGTTGTTTGCATTGCTAAAGGCCCTTTAAATTTGATTGGAAATTTTATACTAAATAGTGTTTATAAAAATTAAAGCTACTTTATGGATAATAAACCGCAGTGACTAATGCATTCATCCATTTATTTTTTGAGACAGTTGTAATTGCCTTCATTACACAATGAGAACACTGTATACTGATATCACATTAGAACCTGAAGTTCTAAATGCTGCTATACTGCAATGTCATTCAAGGTGAATCATGAGGTGCCTTCAAATGATCCACTTGATTAGCACAATAAGCTTGTTGACAGGTGCCATATCCGTTTTTAAGTTTCAACACAATTCCTGATGAAAACCTGCCCAAAGTTGTGTATGCCAGCCAGACTGGATATACTTCAGAAAAACCACTTTTTGCATCGGGTTATTTGAGTGCACTCTTTCAACGGACTATCATTCTTATCATTCTCTAACAAAGTATTTAAAGGCGCTTAAGGCAATGACTAAACGCCGAAAAGATGCTTTGCAAGTTGGATGGTCCCATAAGTAGACACTTGAAGACGAACGCGGATTACAATTTCAGACCTCCTACCGCTATGTTTGCGCAATGATATTCGAAGTGGAATAATATGACATGCTTGAATTGTACCTGATAAACTCTAAGGCACGTACGAGTGTCTAAATGAAAATTCCGTTAGAGTGATAGGGATGTAGCAGTAGAAATAAATCTCAATCATTTCAACATTTTCATCTCCTTGTTCCATTGCTAATGGTTGATCTACTAGTTGCTATATGCCCATTGAAACCCGTACGATTCACCGAATTCTTGAGTGTTTATGTAAGTGGAAGTATTAAATGCGGCTTAAAAACAAAAGGGCTTGGCCTTGGATTCTCAAAATGTGGAATAATATTTTAAGTCATTGATAACTTATAAAGTTGCCATAAACAGGGCAGAGAGACTGTTTGGTCTACTAAAACGAAACCAAAGCAGATATGACGTAGCCGATAGGATGCAGAGTGGGGTAACATTTTCCATAGGGCTACATATTTACATAAAAAGATGAAAGTTCTTTGTTCCTCGGTTTTAATCATGAGGGTAGCAATGAGGGTGCATTCAAAGGTCATATTCGTGGAAAGCAATCAATTTCACAGATTCAATTAGAATGGTATGGTCACCAAATCTAATTTCCTTCTACTTATCAATAAATTAAGCGACCATGAATTAAACGGCCATAAAAATTTTAAAATTTATTTGTAATTAATTAGAAATATAATGCATTTTAAACGAATTCTTTTGTTGCTACAGAACAATTTAATGGTGAAGTCCGAAGACTGAAGTCTTGCGAGATATTCATAAATTATCATTTCAATTGTGCTCCCATTAAATAAATTCACTCGCTAGTGCTGTAATTTGCGGGTCGCGTTCAATTTATTCAACATTTGAAAAAAAAATTAAATGTGAAACTAAAAAAATATTTGCAAATGAGGTTTAAAACAAGAAAATTGTAGAATGTTTGCTTTTAATTATGTCATTTAAAACGACCAAGAACAATGTTTTATTAAGTAGATGTGAATAATTTTGCGGCTACTTTTGCTATAATATATATATATATATATATATATATATATAATATATAATATAATATAATAATGAAGTAAAGTTAATTGAAAAATTTTCTTTTGCATTTTCTTCTCTTTCCTTCACAGCTAATGGTTCGCAGTAAAAATAACTCTCAGTCATTTCAACGTTTCTATCTCTTTGTTTTATTGCTAATGGTTGATCTACTAGTTGTTATATCCAACGAATCATTTAGTGTTTATGTAAGTGGAAGTATT